AACGGTAACCTGGTTGCCGAGTTCACGAAGTGAATTGGCTTGATTTACAACGTCCTTGCCAAGCGACGAAAACCCACTCCCGATGGCAAACACCGGGGGGGGCGGCTTGTTTTACAACGTCGTTGCCAAGCGACGAAAACCCAACCCCGATGGCAAACAACGGGGCGAGGGGGGAGGGGGGGTATCGATCAATTCGAGAACGGCTCGGGACAAGAGATTTACTTCGAAAGAACAGGCGAATTGCGAAGTGCGCCATTTACTAAGCATCCAAAGCGCAATTCGTAGGGTTGGGTACTGAACCAGTACGTACTGCTAGTGCGCATGCACTGCCAGTGCATGTGCACTGGCTGCATCAGCAGCCAGTACTCCAGTACATTCTAATACTCGCAGATTTCCTCAATAATAGGCCTCAAGAACCAGTGGAAACCCATCTATGGGAACAATCGAACACCCCCGCGGCCGCGAAGAGGGGCTAGGGTGGTGGCTGTCTTTGGTGGTGGCTGTCTTTGATGGGGAGAATCTTAGTTTGGTTCTCTGCTGAAGGGTGCTGGTGGCGCAAAAAATCGCCATCCAAAGTCTCTGCTTGTTGTGCTGGTGCTGGCGGCAGTGATTTGTGCGCGGTGTAGGTTTCGGTTGTGTACCTTTGGCGCCGTTCTTATCCCCTACTTGAGCGTTCTATCAAGCTGGTGAATCACTTGTTGCTCAACTTATCCTGTCGTTTCTAGGTAGACTAGTAGATAGACTCGTCTTTTCCTTTTTAGCCCTTTAGCTCTTGGCTGGTTTCTTGGTATACGTTCAGGGCTGCCGCGTCGTTGTGTACTTCGTAGAGCCCTTCGTGTTTCTGCGAGAGAGGGGCTGTAGAGTCCAGTATACGAGAGCGTCGCTCATCAACCCAACTGATGGATGTCACTTGGTTGCTTGGGAGTAACATTTCAATATTTCTCGCTAAATATTTCCTTATGTCGAAAAACAAACTCGGTCGTTCAACTCGAAATTTCTATCGTATTCCCCACGATAGTGCCTCTGTCAGATGGGCCAAAATCACTCATTTCTTATGCTCTAGTGAAGCCATATCTCGTAAAAAAACGCCTCCGGCGGGGCCCCCTCACCAGCCGGGGGGGGGCGATGATCCCGGCTGCGCCGCGACCGCGCGGCTTCGCCGCGCCACCAGTGTACTGATCGGATCCGGTATACTGGCTGCGCCGGTATACTGGCTGCGCCGGTATACTGGCTGCAGCCAGGATACTTTGTACAGTACCCAACCCTAGCGATTCGTGCACTTCACGTCTAGTATCAAGGAAGGTGTGCGGGGCAGACATATCCAGGACCAACAATCAGTGCGCACATCTCTGACATATGAACACGGCCCGCTGCCGACTCCACTACTTCTTGTCATGTATCGCATCGCGGAGCTTCAGGTCGTGGAAGCCCAACGCCGATATGAGCCAGGTTCATTCCGAAGTGGCCAAACAACAGCAATGGGTTTTGAGATATGAAGTATGCAAGTACATAACACTCGTTTACCCGCCGAAGGAAGCACGCAAGCGAGCCTCCGGGTGCCAACTTACGGTGGTGGCGACGGTGTTCCCACCCCTCGAAAGCGGCAGGATCGCGAGGGGCTCGTCCTCGGCGAGGCACTGCTTCACCAGGGCGCGGTACCTCGGCTCGAAGATCCGAAACCGCTTCGTCATGCCGGGGAACACGACCTCGTCGACCTAGGTGGGGTGTGGCAGGAGGGCATGCGGCGGAGGATAACCGTAGGGGGGGGGGGCTGTCTCTT